ACTCTTAAGAAACACATACGAAGTACTTGCCTTTAACTCATTTATAGGTACATATATCTTTTACAATAGCAGCGCTAAAAAGAAATCCAGTATGCGCTAAGAATAATTTTGGTATTTTTTGCTTCGGCCACAAATTACACAAAATGTGTCTTGTCTTTATAGAACGGAATATTTTTTTTATTTGTATTTTTCAGTTTTTTTCTTAGAAGTAAATGAAACCGGCACTGCTGTTTGATTGCATATTAAAAACTCTTTAGTAAACGAGTAACATTAATAATCTTATCGGTTACCTGCTAAAAACGTTTTTATATTGTACATATATATTTTGGTTGAATAGTTTTATGTTGTGCTTTTAATATCGCCAATAGCTATTTAACACCAATGCATATTTAAGTTTAAATATTAGCTATTTGCTGCTATAATTAACAAATGATTAGTAAAATTAACAAAAATTTCTCTGAATTATTGTGTTTAATAGTTTAAAAACTGCTTTGAGCTACAATTTACGATCATTTATAAAACTTGCAAATTTATAATTATAAAAATAATTAAAATCTAAATATAAAAATTGTCTACTCAAGACGAAAAACGAAAACTTCTCGCTACTTAAAGATCAATTTAAGCCGCCTTTCTTTTTATAAGGAAACTTAATTGTCTCCATTTTTGAATCCATAAGCTGTCATTCTTCCAAAATTGTTTTTTAAAAATCTTATTTAGATTACTTCCTGCTTGGCATAAAACAGTAACTGAAATAGAAACAAAAACAGAAAATAGTAAGCTTCATGCAGATACTACGCATTCTGTGCAAATGTATCAAATGAAATACATTAAAGAATTGCTACTGAGGGCACAAGTAAATAATAAATAAAAACCTCAAGAGTCTATGCACGGCACAAGTATTTCATCAATAAAACTTATTGTTCCGTTGCACGTCCAGAGAGATAAACTAAAAGACGAACAGAGAATGACGAAAGACGAACAGAGAATGACGGACAGTACGAAAACGTGACGGACAGAATTAACAAGTGTGATCCGTTCAGTTTGATTACCGTTTCTACTGTAAATCAGCATTTGAAACTGTAATAGTTTTTTGTACGAGTATTAATCTTTCTATTTCTAGTTTTCATAGTAAATCTCATTTAAATATCTTAAAGTTCTTAATTTTTTCTATTTACACTTTTTGTTGCACTAACACAATAATCAGACCAGTTTTGTATGAACTGCTTTTCCAATATGTGTTTCTGGCTATGAATGTATCTGAGGTCATCGGTAGCAGATTGATAGATAGATGTTCCAATAGGTAAACAAATGAGCACGAGTTACTTTTAGTAAGTTGCGAAAAGAACTTGCGTTCCTGCGTACGATCTTGGCTGCTCTCATCTATATTGTACAATCAAATCAGTGCATTGAGATGAATAACCTCAACTCAAACAGCTTTGCAATGAAGCATTTTTTATGCTGTGAATTGAGTTCGACGCGCTGTTTTGCTCTGCAAATCTCTTGTGATTTGCTACGTTCTGTCACTACACCAAGCTAAAATAATACGCAATCGTTTTTTACATAGTAGAGTAGAGTTGAGTAGAGTGATTTCAACAATATATTAGTATCAAACCTAGTACAGTAAGAAGACCTAGTATCTTAAACATCTACTCTTCAACTCTTTTTGTATTATCAATTTCTTACAAAATCTTTTATTCAATACGCGTTTATCTTTAAATGTATTTTTATATTTAAAAAATTATTAGCATGCTGGTTATTTTTTTTTCTTGAATGTTACAGCGACAGTTAATGTCAGTTACCGCGTTCTTAGTGTTGCTGTTATTTTGCACCGCTTTGTTGTCCTTACATTTCGATAAATTCCCCCTACCCCAAAATCACTATGTCTATTTGTAATAAATAATTGTAGAATCTGTGTTATGGATCAGAAGTAAAACTACTGGACCCAATTCAGGTTTAATATAATAAAGTCAGAGTTCGCTTTAAAATGTGAATGTGAAATGAATTAGTCTAGTTTATGGCTATTAGAAATGAGAGAATTCCTATTTCACCACAGTCTTCAGGAATGCATTTCCATAATCAAGTGCAATGCACAATTCCATGCATTTGAAGTGAATAAAGACGAATGCACTAGCAAAAACTAAGAAGAACAGAAGTAAAATGTGAAATGTGGTCAATCGTTTGATTTCTTTCGAGGGATCTGTTTTTATTTTTGAAGTCAATGGCATAAATGGAATTTTATTCAACGCAAAGTAGAAATTGTGAGGCTACTAATTGCGTATTGCAAATAACGATATCTGAATAGAAGTTGAAATGTCTTTTGTTTTTTCTGAAACTGTGTGAAACTGTGTGTAAGTAGCAGCCGAGTATCTCTAGTGACTGAGCTGAATTAAATTACACTGAGAAATGCCACTATTTGATTCATTGGATATCAATGCAACTGCAACTTATGCACATAAACATATTGTATCTGTACATGTACATATACATATTAAAAATAAAGTCATACATTATCTGCAGATCACACTGCAGGTTTGAACGCAGTCTTATTCATGAACGCAGTTATGGAATATTTTCCTCATGCAAACTCATCAAAGTATCCAAAATATTGAAATACAAATAATTAACATTAAAATAAAAAATAAAATTGAAAAAATACTTGGAAGTTATTAATGACTCACATCAAGTCGAAAAACTACACTTAAATAGAGATCTGATTTCTAACAAAACTTAAGTGGATATTACAGGCTTAAATACTTGAGGAATCATTTTGCTTTTATTTATATCTGGCATTGTTATAAAGAACCTATGGAGTAATTGCAGCAATGTTCAATTTCTCAGTCATTAAAACGTTGTAAGAGTTTTTAAAATATATTAGCTTTAATTGCCCAAGTATGGAAGAGAGACGCATTAAGATAATTTACACTGCAATTCATTTGCGACTAAAGTAGTCAAGGGTTGGAGAAGTGAAATGGGAAATATTTTTCAATTTAATTACTTGCTTTACTCACGGTTGTTATTACAATTAAAAAGAATAAAATAAGAACAGCCTTTAAAATTTCCTATAATGAGCATTTTTCTGTGGATACACACAGTTATGCATTCCTTGAAAATTTTTATTTCAGTTTGCAGTCAATGGGTTTTAATTTGAGGAAATGCTTCCGTGAACACCTTAGACTGTGCTTAATTTGATTTTCAAAGAATAAAGATAATAAACACCAATTATATTGATTTTACAGTAGCAGCAAGTGTGTGTAACCCTAACCAAACCAATATTTAGAATGGTGTGACCTGAACAAATTTCCTTTTTAAACACTTTCACGTATGCAATGTGAATGTGGTACATTCACCTAGTGAAACTGTTTGTAACGCGGAAAAAGAGATGTTCGGACATTATAAAAATCACACACAATATGTTAGGCTCTCAGTTTAAAAAATACTCGAAATACTTGCGAATGAACCATAAATGTTCTCAATAAATAACAAATATTGCATATAAAATGTATTATTTTATATATATATATATAAAATAGTTGTACATAGACTGGTAATACGTTTTTCTTTATCCCAAAAATTTTGATTTAGGGTCCAATCCCATTAATGAGCACTGATTCATGAGGTCGAGTAAAGCTGCCAACTCTTCCACAGAGTCACAACTCCGACATATTCCTTAGAGTGCAGACCTAATATAACTTGCCAAAGCGTGCATGTTTCAGTAGGCGAGGAAAAGGTAGGGATTTTATATCTTCCAGTGAAGACATTATCTCCGTTGTTAACACCAAGACCAAATTTCCAGCACCCTTTTAACACAGTGACGAGTAAGGAATTAAGCAAGAGGAAGAAAGGAAGTAAGCACAGGACATCACTTTTAAATAATTGTTAACATGTTAATGTTTTATATACTAACCACAAATATTTCAGTTTATCTGACAATTCTAATTCAACTAATAATTACTTAGTAAGTGCATTACTCGTAAATGCAGTAAGACATTTTCTGTGGCAAAAACTTTTTTCAGCTTTAATTATTTTATGAAATAGTTTGTTTGAAATTAAATTTATTTTCATACTAAGTCAGTTTAAAAGCATAAATTTAATTACTTTAAACATAACTTTTTTGCGATTTTGAATTCCTCGCAACAAAAGCGAATTAAGCAAACAATAATTAACTGCATTACGCGGCGATGTTATGCAACAATAATGCAAAAAATGAAATTTAAGTTTTACTTTTTACCGAAACGAAGAAGAAACTGCAAATGTGTAGCTCAGCATTGCAAATAAAAGTCAAGACACCAAAAGTCTTAAGGCGAATGCGAAAAATATCGCAAAGCTATGGAAATGCTTCAGCTCAAAAAACAGATACAATAAGGAAATTTTTGTGGAAATACTTTTTGATTAAAAATGAAAACAATGAATATGAAACCTAAAATACTGTGCGAAAAATATCTCAGATACAAGCGCAAATTCATAGATACTCTGGTATACTTCTACATACGAATGTGTGTATCGCTTAACAAAAGTATCTAAATTATTACGAATTAATGTATTTGTTATTTTTCTTTATGCTTTTTGCTTTTTACTTTGTTATAGTTATTTTTTGTATCGCTTTTAGTATTTGTTAACCGTTTTACCCGTTTTGAAATTAACAAGTATTTTGCAATTATTTTAATGCGAACTCTTCAAAGCGCCTTTTTACCATTTGAATAAAGTTTAAAATTTTTTTGCCAAACAAACTTTTTTGGTTTTAAGAAAATTGACACGTTTTTTACACGGCAAACGCACGTGCTTGGCGCGACTGTATTTCAGTTTAGAGGTCGTATACGATTTATTATTAATATTTTTATGGACTTGTATACTTACACCCACGATTGTATCTACGGCTTACGTTAACTAAAACCGTTTTGGTTGCAAATTATGAAATATCGGAGAGCAGAGACGACTATATTTTTTCTAAGGCAATAATATGTATCTATTTGTGTATTTAATAATTCCGTATTTGAACTTACATGTTTTGATCTGCGACTTTTACAGTGTTAATAGCTGAAAATAAAAAGAGAAAACATTACAGAAAACATTACAGTATTGCTGAAGTTAAAAATTAAAAAATATTTTTTATTGTTTAAAGACATTTTAATTTTAATCCCAGACAACTTTCAGATTTATCAACATAATTCTCATTAATTTCTAATATATATATTTTCAATACAGTATATACATACAGTATAATTCGCTTAACTGACTCGAGTCGTTTGCAGAAATTTTGGAGGCAGCTATCTTAAAAGACAGCTAACGTAATTTTAATAGTCTGCCTAAAATAGTTTTCATTTCATCGCAACCAAAATTATTTTTTAAATCCCCTGACTTTTATTAAACATTACAAAATAAAGGAATTAAATTTTACGGTTTTTATACAATATATGTATTTATTTTATACATATTAAAATATTTTTAATTATTTGGACATTATATTTACGGTTAAGAAGTATTAATTCTCTTTAAATAAAGTTGTAATTTTTGTTTGCACTGCGACCGCTTTTATAGATAAATTTAAAAATATATCCTCCAAAGATGTAAGGTGTGGCAAAAATACTTTGCAATGCAATGCAAACACGCTTCAGCACCTTAATGGCTAAAGAACCTTCCTTTTTTTTGTTTGAAAATTCGTTTCCTAGGTGGCGCAGCTAAGTTGGACGATACTCATAGAAAATGGCAATTAAATTCTCCCGATACGATGCGCTTAAGGACGCTAACTCAGATGCAGCAAACATAATTATTTTCATACAAATGAAGCCATAAATGCAGAAAAAATATGATTTAAGGCAACTATCTTATCGATACAGCTAAGCATATAATATATATATATATATATAGTCTATATTCGCCCGTGCGAATAGTGGAGTTATATTAGCATGACTTTCTCAGTATTACGTACCTAAATAAGGTTCTATACATTAGAAAGAATATATAAATCATGTAACAAATAATTAAAAATAGAAAAAAATTTAATTAATTCAATTATTCTACAACTGGTTTAGAACGAAATCTTCTAATATAAACACAGCAAGTGAATTGGTTAATAAACTTTCACAGCAAATTAACAACACTCCAGAAAAATTTGCGAACATAAAACTTAAGTACGACTTTGGGTCAGTTGGTTAAGAAACGCTGACTCTGAGCTTCAAATTTGGCAGGACACGACTGCGATTTCTGATACTTGCAGTCTCAAAACTTATTTACGAATAATTGAATACAAGAATTATTTCCAAGGCCAGTGATGATGGGTATTTGGCAAAACGCGAAACAGCTGTGTGGTCAGCCAAAAATTCAATTAATTAAAATAATATAAAAAATAATTTTTGTTGTTGTAGTTCACTACTTTTCGAAAAAAATTCTATATTCAAATTTTTAAATATTAACTGTAGGCTTTGAGGTAAAATTTAATTTTAGAAGTGTGTCATGAGCTTGTTTTCAACTTCTGCGAATTGAAAACGTAGCCCAAAGCTACTTTTGAATGATTAACTTCAATTTAAAATCAAAATAGGCAATGTGTTGAAAGTTTCTAATTTATTAATGTTGCGATATTTGTAGAAACTTTCTCAGTTCTTGAATTAGAAAAATGAAAACTCGCGCTAAGATTTATTTGTAAGCAGACTGATTATTTTCTGAAATGACCTGTTCTACGAAACTGAGTTTTCTGAATTATTAATCTGCAATAAAATTGCTTACGAAATTTATGTTACAAAAATTAAATATCTGCAATTATTATTTATCATTGTTATTTGTAGATAGTTACAATACATTCGAACTTATCCATGAGTTTTTATATATTTAAAAATTGCAAATCTATATTACAAATCCACATTTTCAAGTCCATCGTTCAATCGCAATATCTTCTATCTGTTTCTTTTATTCAGAGATTTTTTCATTGAATTTTTATTTAGAAGCTCTATCGCTTGATCTCCCTGCAATGCCTTTTTCCAAAAACCTACACAAGATAATAATATTGGTCTTTTTGATGCACACACAGAAAATTCTTTAAACTTGCATCTGTTATGATGATTTCTGGATGCTGTCCAATCTCATGTCTATATGCATTTAAACATTTATTTGAATTCAGAATATTTTAGCAGTTATCTACCATATACCTGTATGAAAAACTGTTACATACATATACATCTACTATTTCTAGTCATTATAGACATAATAGCTAAGTGACTAAAAATATTTTCAAAAGAAATTGAAAAATCTCTTCTGAATTACTCAATTTAATATCGGGTATTTAATTGAACATTGTTGAGGATAATATCTTATTCTGTTTTATATCAGTTGATTGCTTGACTTACTAAAAGGGCTACTGTTTATTGACGCAACACGGCTTAGAGATCTACTCTAAATCTAGAAGGAGGCACAATAGACCCGATGGTCGCAGTGCCACAACAATTCAGTAATATACAGGTTGGTTGAAAAGTCTTAAAAGCGACACCTGTTATCCAATAAAACAATCAAAATTTATAAATGAAACGAGATCGGTTTCATTCTGCCACACTAATTGTAATTTCTTCGTACGCATTTCTTCTTTTAAAATATAGATTTAAAATTGTGAAATTTAAAAATTTTAACAGTTCAAAGATGAAATGCTAAAATGGCGCATAAAGTTTGATTCTTAATAGGTGTTGCTTTCAATACTCTTTAACCAATCTGCATTACGGATATGTCATATACAAAGTAAAAGTTATGATTAGATTTGAAGTTTCGAATACATATTATATTACCATTATTTGCCATAATTCTAATTACTAATTAATAATAATTGTATAAAAAAATCAAAAAAAAAACAAAATAAAATTGGAAACTTAAAGTGGAATATGGAATATTATTATTAAATTATATGACTGGATTATTATTGAATATACCAAATAATAGCTAATCAATTAATGGAATGCAGTCCGATGCGATCAATACTTTTCAACTACCTACCCACTTTATGCTTCCACTCTTCGGTACTAATTTATATGCAAAAACATAAGTGTTGTGTAAGAAGAGAAAACTTAATGTGATAATAAAAATTAACATTCGTGAGCTGTAGGCCTTTCAAAAAGTTTCCATAGACTGCCTTTGATTGAATTCAAAGGCACCTATTTTGATACAAAGTCAGAAAAGATATTTATGAGTGTTAATTTTCGAAACCATTTTCTATTTTCTAATTTTGACTCAATTTTGGTAGCGCAAGAGATGCGGGTCAGTCCGATTGCTTGGAGAAAAAACTTTGATATTGAGAAAGATGCTAATTATTTTTATTTTGGATTTATTTTTGGATTTTTTCTCAATGAAGAAAGAAGAAAAATTTGATTTCTTTTGAGTGCACTTGATGTGTTACGAGAGGTGGGAGGTGTTACGACTGCAGCCAGCCCGTGGCAGAAAGATTTTAAATTGTTTACTTTGGGTTTAATTAATAGACTTTTTTAAATTATTTTAAACTATAATGCCTTTGAAATATTATCTGTCATGTAAGGCCATTTGGTGTTTTAAAATATTTCTTTTTCGACTTTGACAGCCTTAATGGCTCTCGAGTGCATATAAACACACTCGATAAATTGATTTCAAGTTTTGTTGCATATTTTACATTTCTAACTAGAAAACAGGAGAATTTTTCAAATATGTTTTTATTCATCTAGGAAATATATGCTCCACAGCAAATAATTTTATGATCAGTAAATAACTTTTAAAATATGTTATAATATAATATATATATATATATAAGAATTATTATTATCAACCTATATCCTTATGTAATACAAATCCCAATCAACCATATTTGCGTTTATAAATCTCCTTTTTAATAGGATTTTGCAGTTTTATTTGCATAGTTGAAACCTCCTACTGCTTATACGCGACCACCAGATGCACAATGTGGAATAATAACATCGATTCCAATTTTTTTATAACCGTTTTTAAACAAGTGTTGAATTTTATTTAAAAGCACATGTTCGTTTTTAGATAAGCAAAAGAAACTTTGGCTTTTCTAATTCTAGACTTTACATCGAGTTGTAATTGACATTTGGTTTTTTAGCTATTCGAATTGATTCATAAGGAATATGTAAATATCAAAAATTATCACTTTATCCATTCTAGATTGTATATACTCGCTGCAAAAATAGGTAATACAACCGTGTTTTAAATCGGCAGGATCCTGAACTTGTATATTTACTTACCGAAATTGTAAAGTCCCTGACAGTTTTTCACACCATTTTTCTTTGTTGTGTTATATTTAGGATCCATTTAAGAAATGTCACTTAATGTGTAATATAGTGATTTAGTGAAAATTTATTTGTATGATAAAATCGGAGATAAGAAAAGTTACACTTTAAATTAATAAATAAATAACTTCTACCCTCCAACCGACATTTTAAACAAGAGTGTTCTCTGATTGTTTATAATTTATTCCAGCTTATTAACAAAACATACAGTAATTTTGTTAAATAATCGATCTATCTTTTCGTTTGATTGCCCAAAATAATAAAAAATATTTTCGTTATAAATATAACGAAAAAGTCTTCGAAAAAAAGTCATATACCAATAGAGTATATATAGACTTAATAAAAAACTGTGAAGTTGCAGCAGCATTTTTTACATAAACTCGATTTTTATGTTTACTTGCGTATTTTTGCTGTATTTTTAAAGAAATATTTTTCCAATTTTGCAAAGCAAACATTGCATGTTAATATATTTTAGTTTATTTATTTTATATAAAAAATAACTTTCCCCACTTATAACGTTGTTATTATGGTTGCCGAGCTAGCAAGTATGAGTTTGAAATATTTTCATGTAAAAGATAGCCACTTCACGAAATGATATTATTTGCAAATGCGTTCACTCATTGGTACGTCAGCCTTTTGCGCCCGTCTGTTGACTCTACTTCATCTTCACTAATGCTTTAAATAATTTAAAATCTCTTATGCAGTAACCAATACATACTATATATACACACAATTGTTTACGACCGAACTTAGACTGTTTATAGATTGAATGCTAGAGACGTG